ACACTGATCTTCTATTCACATGGGCTTAGCCACAGGGCTTCGTGTACATTCATATGCTTCCGTAGATTACAGAGTTTACCTCCAGCTAGAATTGAACCGTTGACCTTGTTTGTGGAGGGAGGGGCACCTAGATCACTAGGCTACGGGACCCCATCCCTATTAAATATTATATATAATTTTAATTATATGTTTTAATAAATGTAAAATCTGATTGGCTAGCAGGTGAGGGGTGGAGTGAGTTCAAACGATTTATTAGTAAACCCTAATCAGCTGATTTCTGGAAGCCCTTAATATATTATTCATAATTTAGATATTTAATTTTTTCTGCAAGTTTGAAGTTATACAATTTTCTTTACAATTATCTTGAAACTTTATATAATTGTCTATTTTAGACATATCGTATGATTTGTTTTTATTTTTATCACAATTCATTTCTTTCATATAGACATATAATTTTTTTTACAAATTTGACATCATACGATTTTCCTTACAATTATCTTAGAACTTTATATGATTGTCTATTTTATATATATCATACGATTTTTTTTTATTTTAATCGCAATTTCCTTTTCTTTCATATTTGATACACTATACGATTTTCCCTAATTTTATTTTTCACTACTCTACAACCTTTAATAATTATAACGCCTTGATATAGAGAACGTGCAAATACATATCTTATTGATATTTGTCATACTATTATGTGTAGAATTATAGTTATACATTAAAATCACCTCATATTATTAATCAGCCATAGTATATTATACAAGTATAGCAATTAAAATATTGAAACATATGATATAAAAAGATTTACAAATATGGGAATTGTTATTCCAGCAATCAAAATATTTGAGTTATAGCATAATTATATAGTTATAGAAGTTTATGAAAGAAAATGTGGGATATACAAAGCATTATTCTGCATAGTTATTTGTTGTTAATTGTTAATTACTTTTTGGTTTAGCATATTTCCAAATATAGAAATGATTTATTCTATTTTACTACTTCTTTAACGTTCAAAATACTGCTAATTAGGTTTCAAAACCAGGTGAGGTAAAACAACATCAAAAAAAAAATAATTATAAAAATCACTTATAACTCAACATTTATTTACGAAATTGCTTTTGGCATATTGACTAAACATCCTCTAATCTTGTATAGTAGTAACATTATTTCTAATCTAATAGTATAATTTTTTTTAACAAAGATTAGTTTAGATAAACTAAAAAAAAAAATTGCTACTTATTGTAATGATCTGATTTCTGCTTTATTTCAAAATACTGATTGATAGGTCTAAAACCAACAAAAATATCTAATACCCAAATCTAAGAGCATCTAATATCCAAGTTTAATATTCAATATCTAAATCTAAGAAGGTTTAACGCTCAAGTCCTAGAAGGTTCAATGTTAAAATCCAAGGTTTAACATTCAGGTCTAAAAATATCTTATTGTTATATAGATAAGCAGTACAGGCTGATTTTTAAAATTAGTACTATACTGATCTGGTATTATATATATTAATATTATGATTAGAAATTGTAACTGATCAGTGTAGTATGGTTTTAAAATTATAGCAGTTCAGAATGATTTTATGTAAAAGCCATGCCATACTTATTAGCAATAATTTCTAATCTAATACTAATATATAATACTGGCTTAATATAATATGAAAGTTTCTACTATGCAAATGTGTTTCTGTTTCTGATTATTATTAAGACTCTAGTATTACTAGTCTAAAAGATTTCACTACCAGTATTAAGGTTAGATTTTAGTATTTTTGGTTTGCTTTGTATTATGTTTGATCTTAAATTTTAATTTGACTAGTTAGTGAAATATTTTGGATTGGCAATACTAGGGTGGTTATTTGCTAAAAAAATAAATTATAATTATATAAATTAAAAATCAGACTATTTCTTTAATTATATTAACTTAATAGCAAATTATATTAGAGAACATTTTTAGAGTTAGGGTTAGTCTTATAAAAGGTTAGTATTTGTTAAAGTTGGTTGTTAGTAGAAGTTATAATTATTTAAGTATTATTACTATATTATTGTTTAAAAAAAAATAAACTAGTTTTAATTAGTTTTAATCTTTTCAATCTAATTTCTAACCTGATTTCTAACCTAATTTTTGAACTAGATGATATTATCTAGGGTAAAAATTAGCAAAAGTCTTATATATTTATATATTATTTAAATTTTTTGTTTAAAATGATCCTGCCTTTAATATTTTTTTAGAAGTACCAAAAACCATATTCTTTAGCTAGTGATTCTAACATAATATTTTGTATACTATATTCTGTTTCAATAAAAACTTATTCAACTATAAGACCCAAGTACAATCTATCAAAGTAGCTATTTCGCTTTACATCAGATCCTCAACTTTCTGAGGATTTGATCCTTCTAATCCTTAGCTAGGAGCTAACATTTTACATTAAGCAACAAAAACAAAAAGAAAAACTAAAAAAACAAAACAGAGATATAGGGTCTATAATAAAACAATATAAAAAAAAAATAAAAGGGGTGAGGGAAGAGTAAGAAAAAAAAACAAAAAGAAAAATTGTATAACCTAATACTATGGTTATAAGTCTATGAAGGCTTGTAAAAATTACATACTATTAAATAATCTAGTCTCTACTCTAAATTTATCTACTTAGTATATTAAAGTAAAAAACTATAATGTGACACTGTATAGATAAGCAAAAAGGTAAGTTTTTTTATTACTTGTCTCTTTTTATATTTATATATTGCTTTTTACTAATCTCTTTATGACTACATTTCTAATACGCATATTTACTTATCTAACCCATTTTCATGCTCAATCTCTTCATTACTATATAATTACTTAATATTTACGCTATTGTCAGAACTTCTTGGATTGCGGTTCACAATCGTTACAATTGTAATAATCATTACACGTTATGATCATTATGATCATTATGATCGTTGCATAAATCACGTTCGTTACGATCATCACGATTATTATACAGATCATGTTTGTTATGATCATTGCACAAATCACGCTTAAGATAATCTATTTTACTACACTCACTACTACTTAAAGATAACCCTGATTTTCTTTCAAAGTTGTCGACCAACTGCTTACAATTTTCAAAATTTTTAAGAGGCTCCTATGTGGCATCGTATAAAGGATAACCTCTCCATTTCACTAGGTATTGTGTTTGGCAATGGAAACTCCTCTTATCCAAAATAACTTCGACTTCATATTCTGTATCCAAATTCGGGTTTATTAACAAGAGTGGTAGTGGTGGAATTTCTCTTCCTTCAAATTCGTTGTGATGATAAGGCTTCAAGCATGAAACATGAAATACTGGATGAATATGTAAGATGTTAGGCAGTTGTACTCGATAAGCAGTGGGGAAATTACTTCCGTAATTTCAAATAGACCAACATATTTTGGCATAAGCTTTTTTGACGTTCTTTTCAAATTTTCAAGTATCATTAAATTTGTTGTATTTACTAATACCATCTTTCCCTCTTTTAGCTCACAAAAATGTTTTTTTTTGTCTGCATATATTTTTTGCTTTTCTTGCACTTCTATTAACGCATCTCTAGCTATAATTAACATTGTAGCCCAATGTTGATAGAGTTTATCCACAGCCTTTACATTCGTAATTATGTCTTTTTTACTAAAATACTACTAGGAGTAGATGGATAGCATCCATAATCTAGTTGAAATGGAGTAAAACCCGTTAATGTTTGGTAAGTGTTGTTATATACAAATTCTGCTATAGTCAAGATTTGTTCTCAATTATCTCGTTTATAATTAACATAGGCTTATAAAACTTCTTCCAACATATAGTTAGTTCTTTTGGTTTGTCTATCTGTTTGGAGATGATTCAATATTGACATTTTCAATTCTGTTTCCATTAACTTGAAGAGTTCTTTCCAAAATATACCTGTGAACTTAGGGTCATGATCAGAAATAATATTCTTGGGCAAGCTATGATGTTTAAATATTTTTTGAAACACTAGTTGGGCTACTTCTATTGCTGTCACAGTTGTTCTGGTTGGTAATAATCTTGCCCTTTTACTTAACTTATCTACCACAACTAAAATTGAATCATTCCCATTCTTAGTACATAGAAGATGAGTTATAAAATCTATTGAAATCGTTTTCCAAGGCTGGGTTGGTATTTCGAGAGATTGCAACAACCCTGCTAGTACTTGATTGGGACTCTTATTTCTCTGGCAACTATCGCATATACGTATATATTTTTTTATATCTTTGCTCATTCCTTTCTAATAGTAATTTCGTTTAATACATTCATAGGTTTTCTCAAAACTGAAATATCTATTTTTATCATGATGTTCTTTAAGCAATAATATTTGAATTTTTGATTTTTTTATAATGCATAATCATTGAATTTCTGGACTTTCTACCAGAAATAACAATTTATTCTGTAGTTTATAACGATTTAGTTGCTTTTCCAACTGTTTCGCTTCATTACCTATAAGATTTTTAAGTGCTGTGATCACTTTCTTTAGGTATGTATCTTCTTTATATTTTTCTTTAATTTCTTTATAAATTTCTGCATCTATATTAATTGAACTAATTATATTTGCTTTGGGTTTTCTAGAAAGAGCATCTGCTACTATGTTTGCTTTATCTGGGCAATACTTAATTGTAAAGTCATAGGCTTGTAAGGTTTTTAACCACCTTGCTTGTCTTCTTGATAGTTTCGTCTGAGTTTGTAAATATTCTAACGATGCGTAGTCGGTTACAACTTCAAAGCATCTACCTTCTAAATATATATGCTATATTTTAAGAGCATGTATAATTGCTAACAATTCTTTTTTATGAATAGGGTAGTTTAATTCTGCCGGC